GTACACACCAGATGCACCAAATTCTATTTTGCATTGCTTTGCCTGGGAGCTGTTCCAGACTGAAGCTGTGTGTGTTGGGGTGGGAGGTGGGGAGTATCAGGAGCCCTCACCACCTAGACTGAACTTGACTTTGGAAGTTGGGATGTGAGAACCAGGTTTGGACGGAGATTTCTGAGGTGGAGAGGAGAGAGGGTGGGGAGGGGGGACCATGGGTGGCCGGTGAGCCCGCCGAGGGCCGGTCACTGCGGGGCACTCCCGGCTGGGAGGTGGAAGCCCCCGGAGAGGCCTGCTTCCCAGCCTCGGGGCTGGGTGGGGTCCCATGTCCCCATCACCTGCCTGGGTCTCCTAGCTTGGCCTCTGCTCATGGCTCCAAGCTAGCCTCAGTTTCCCCATCGGTAACCCAACGGGGATGGAGTTAAATTCTTTCAAGGGCTCTACATCCTGTAATGAAGAGAGTGGAGTGGGTTGGAGCGATGCTTGTGGAGGGGACAAGACAGAGAGGGGCGTCTCCTCACTGCACCCCTGAGCCTCTATTTTCCCATCTTGTTAGTGGGAACAATAGAGGGACCTGATGGCTGGGTGTGAAAGCAAGTGGGAACCAGCACGCCCCAAAGAAGCGCCCAGAGGCCACTTGTCACACTAGCAGCGGTTCTCAACCTTCCTAATGCCGAGGCCCTTTAATACAGTTCCTCATGTTGTGGTGACCCCCAACCATAACATTATTTTCGTTGCTACTTCCTAACTGTAATGTTGCTACTGTTATGAATCGTCATGTAAATATCTGATATGCAGGATGTATTTTCATTGTTCGCGACCCACAGGTTGAGAACCGCTGTACTAGATCATGGCACAGCTGTTACTGTTAATTAGTCCAGTGATCAATGTGGGGCTGAGGCAGGAGGCTCTCCCTGCTCCACTGCCCCGCCTGCCTCCCGGCCACACCTCACCACTGTCTCCCCTCCCCCAACAGGGCCACACCTCACCAGTGTCCGCCCCCCCCCACCCCCCCACCCCCGCAACAGGGCCATACCTCACCAGTGTCTCCCCTCCCCCAACAGGGGACGTCGACGTGGACGAGTGCTCGGAGGGCACGGACGAATGCCACATCGATGCCATCTGCCAGAACACGCCCAAGTCCTACAGATGCCTCTGCAAGCCAGGCTTCAAGGGGGAAGGCAGGAAGTGCGAAGGTGAGCCCAGCCAGCCCTTCCGGCCTGCAGCGGCCACCTGGGGGCTCCCCCGGGGGTGGAATCGGGAGTCATGGGGTGCCTGGCTCTCCCTGGGTTTGAAACTTTGGGGTGTTTTTTTGTTTTGTTTTTAAGAAATCGAGATGAAGTGTTGAATGATATCTTTGCCCGTCTATCCTGGGCTGGATGTGTGTGGGGTAAAGGCCTGAGGTGACACCCCAAGGCCTCTGAAGTCACCCTATGTGGCCTGTAGCTTCCAAAGGACCTGCTAGTAGCCGGCCACACCTGAGCCAGCCCAGGGACGGTGATGTGCTGTCTGTCGGTCCAGCCTTCCTTCCCTGCCCCGGGTGCTGGTTTGATGTCCGGCACTGGAAACCGTCCCCTGGCAGGCAGAGAGAAAAGAGCGGGCTTGCCGTCTTTGGGGCCGGTCTCTCAGGCCGGATGGAACTTGGGGAGGTGTGTCTAGGAGGGTCTGGTGGGTTTTCTGACTACAGGCCTGGGGCAGGGGTCAGCATCCGGGGCCAGAAACAGCACGTGACTGATGTGCACCCCTGGATGAGAAGCTCTGCTCCCAATCTTCCCCGTCTGTCCCCATTTTGTGGATGAGGAAAACTGAGGCTCAGAGAGGAGAGGCATCGTTGCAGGCCCCATGCTCTCAGCGGCATGGCCGGTGCTCACACCCGGGTCTCTGGCATCTCGTTTTCTCCTCGTTGAGCCCTGCCCCACTGTCTCCACGTGAAGTTTGTGTTAGGAACGCGACACATACGCTTCTGGACACACTGCACAGGAGCTGGAGTTTTGCAGAAGCAGCTATGCCTTTTGGGGACGCTGATATTGTTTATCCTTCTCATTCGCTGGGCATCTACTTAAGGCTGAGTGCTGGCCAGATGACAAGGCCTGGGTCGTGCCTGGTTAGGCCGCATCCTGGCCTTGCTTGGGGCCCAGGAGCCTGAGGGGGGGAGCTGGCGCTGCCCACAGACCTCTGTCAGGAGGCCAGGCCCCAGGCAGATAGAGCGGACGTCAGCCAGAAGCCTGGTGGCACGTGCTGGCCCGGCTGCTGGCAGGGCCTGGAGGTTAGTTAGCTCGGTGGTTCCAAGTGGCACGTGTGTGGCTCTCTGTCGCCGTTTTCTGACCCTCTGCTCCCCACTGCAGGCCCAGCGCTCTGGCAAGGGAGAGCCGAGGGTGACCCCATCTCTGCCGGTTCCAGCCACTCACTCAGCTTGTCCTCCTCCAGCTCAGGTCCTAGGTCCCTTCCTGCCAGCCCTGCCAGGAGGCCCACGCTTGGTCGCCTACCTGTTTCCCTGACATCCCCAGAGTCCAGCTTCAGCTTGAGCCCGGATGGGGTCACACTTGCTGGCTCGATGAGCCGGCATCCTCTGTGTGAAGGCGAGAGAGGAGGAGGCTGTGACTGTGCCAGGAATTGCCAGGGGCCTCCCTTTCTCCGGCCTGGCTCCGGCCTCTGCCCCTCACTTCCTGAAGTACCACATAACACATGTGTCCTGGCCACACACACAGGCCAGGCTTCCCCTCGCCTGGAGCGCCTTTTCCACCCTTTGTGTTCTGGCCAATTTCTCATCATGTTTTAGATTTGCCTCCTCCAGGAAGCCCTCGCTGATGCCTCCACTACACACACACACACACACACACACACACACACACACAGCTGCTATAGTACCTACTCAGCTCCCTGCTACCCGCCATCATGGCACTTCTGACTCTGGATTGTAACTACGTGTCTTGCTCCCCCACTGAACTATGAGCTCATTTTTGAGGGTCTGCCATGGGCTTGGCGTTGGGGCCGCCACACTGAAGTCGACCTCGGGCTCACAGTGAGCTCCTCAGTTGCAGAGAGTCTCTTGGGTTTGTCCCCATGTTCCAGCGCTGGGGCAGGCCTGCACTAGCAGGTGTGCAGAATACGTTTAGTCTCAGTTGGCTCTCTTTTGCCCAGGCTGGAGTTCACGTTAGATGAGCCACGTGTAAGATGCCCCGAGAGATGCGAGGGCCTATGGGAAGTGTGGGTGCTGGGTCCGTGAAGGCTCGCTCTGGGCTGCCACCCACCTCTGGTGTGAAGGTTTAGGTAGTCGTTTCCCTCCTGAGCCTCAGTTTCTCCTTTGGTTAGATGGGCCCAAAAGACCCCCACCGCAGGTCGTGGTTAAAGCAGGCACAAGCTATTTAACCTCTGTAAGTCTGTAAACTAGAGATAATAACAGTGGTGACTTCATGGAGATAGTGTAAGGACTGCATGAGTTAATGCGTATAGAGGATTTGAGCATAACCTGGCACACAGGACACACTCTATAAACATTTCAGCTGCTGTTACCGAGGTGCTGGTGATGGTGCTGATGGGATGGATATGTTAATGAGGGTGACATTGATAATGACAGTGATGCTGATGGTGAGGAGGAGGATGTTGATGATGACAATGAGGAAGATGGAGGAGGAGGAGGGTGCTGAGGATGAGGATGTTGATGAGGAGGAGGAGGATGAAGATGATGAGGATGGTGATGATAGTGATGTTGATGATAGTGAGGAGGATGAAGATGATGGTTAATGAGGAAGAAGATGATGATGTGATGATAGTGATACTGATGACAATGAGGAGGATGAAGATAAAGATGATGGTGATGATAGTGATGATGACAGTGAGGAGGATGAAGAGGAGGATGAGAATGTTGATGATGATAATGAGGAGGATGAAGATGATGATGATGACAGTGAGGAGCTGAAGATGATGATGATCAGGATAGTGATGTTGAAGATGAAGAGAATGCTGATGATGGTAACGATGGTGGTGGTAGTGATGATGACGATACCATGATCAAGCTGATGATCATAATGTTGTTCAGCATATGAAAATGGGTGATGCTTTGTCTTTTTCCAGCAATTCCCAGGTTCTAAAATGGCTGGGAAATGTGATGTTCTGGTTCATTGATGATTCAGATAAACCATATGCATATATTCATATCCCCATAGAGACATACGGACATGTGTGCCGTTCACAGATGACCGTCTACCGAGAACGTACAATAAAATGACAAGTGACAGAAGGCTTTCCTTTGTTCCACTAAACCTCCTTCCGGGCCAGAAGCATACACTGCCCTGCCCTGCAGCAGACATCCCAGTCCATTGCCCCCTCCAGGCAGCACTCCCACTTCAGGGAAGCCGTTTCCCTCCCGGGCTCTTTGTCTGCAGGTCCTGAGCTGGTGCGGGGTGGGCAGAGGCTGGCGTGGAGGCCGGGGGAAATGAGTGCCCTGTCCTGGGATCTGGTAGTCGGCGCTACTGATTGTGATGAGCACAGAGGACGGATCCTCTGCAGACACGCCCGGAGCACGTGGCTCCCACGGTCTCCCTAGTCCTTCACGGGAAATGGACCCAGCGTCTGGGAAGCCCTGTGTGGGGCTGAGTGTGCCTCTTAAACCCTTAACTGTGTCAGCCTTGCAACTTCTGCTGGTTGTGACCCTCCCTTTCGCACACCCAGCACCTGAGGCAGCCCGCCCCTGTTCCGGGACGGCTTCTGAGCACACCTTCAAGGCCATCTTGCCATGCCGTGCGGCCTGTGATGTGCGGGGATCACTGAGCCTCTCCGTGTGCAGCCACTTGTGTCCGGGGAGCAGTGTGGGGCCCCGTGCAGTCAGCTTGGCAGGAGGCCTGCTTTTTCAGACTGAGGTGCCTCAGACTGGTGGGAACGTCTGTGAGCAAGGCTGAGGATGAATCAGTGTCTTCCTGATGGTGCGCATCCTGACAGCATTTGCAGTAGCTCGAGGTAAATCCGTGGATGTGCAGAGTTGGAAGGAACATGAATAGGTGTCCAGGGCAGCCCCTGTGTTTTACAGATAACCACACCAGACCCATTCACACCTCCCAGGCCCATTCACACCTCCCAGGCCCATTCACACCTCCCAGACCCATTCACACCTCCCAGGCCTATTCACACCTCCCAGACCCATTCACACCTCCCCAGATCCATTCATACCTCCTAGACCCATTCACACCTCCCAGGCCCATTCACACCTCCCAGACCCATTCACACCTCCTAGATCCATTCATACCTCCTAGACCTATTCACACCTCCCAGACCCATTCACACCTCCACTTTGGCCTGGTCACTCTATGTTTCCCTGTGTGTCCTCCTGGAATGTGGGCCCCTCAAGGGCAGGATCTGTGGCCTATTCACCTCCAATCCCTAGAATCCAGCACCAGGCCTGGAACAGGGCATGAAAGGCATCTGCTGAGTGGAAGGTTGGGAGGCTGGATCCCAATGGTCACCTCTTCCAGGAAGCCTTCCCTGCTGCCCCAGACAGGTGAGCTGTTTGTCACCTGTGGGCACCCTCCTTCAGAGCTCCTGTTACACTGCGTTGCGATGACCTATGTGACTTAACTTAAGCCTGGGCCCAGAACCATTGCCTCCCAAACCCTGAAGGTTTCACAGGTGAGGAAAGTGAGGCCTGAGAGCGGGAGGGACTAGTCCAAGGACATCGGTGTGGACCTGTAGCAGAGTTAGGCTGGGGAAACTGGGAGGTCAGTCTCTAGCCCAGTCTCCAGACTGAGAAGCAGCAGAACCTGGATTCCAACCCTGGTCAGCATGGGATCTCAGCAGAGGACCAGGCCCACCAGCCTGTGTGAATGAAGTGGACAGTTCCTAGCTAAGGAGTCCTGGAGGGGGCTGGGGAAGGAAACCCTTTCCTATGCCCACCACCACACCCTTGCGGCCGCCAGCCCATCGGAGCCAGGCCCTGTGAATGCGATGGTCTCAAAGCGCATCACCCATCCCATAACTAGGAGGTGGCATCCCTCGGGCTTGCCCAGCACTCAGCTGACCACTTTGCGCTGCTGTCATGCTCTAGCCTTCTCTCCCTAACCACACCCCAGCATCACTGCCATCTTTCTAGTTCAAACTTGCCAGCTCTTTCCTACCCCAGGGCCTTTGCATATTCTGTTCGCCCAATCCTTCATTTAGCTAAGCCTGTGCATCCCCAGCTCACCAGCTCCCTTATGCAGAGGCC